GATTTGCGCCGTCAACTTACGGCATAAATATGTATATGTTTATGAGTTTGTTGGTATGAAAGTTGATTTTTTTCTGCTGAAAGCGGCCAACAAAATCGTTTGTGTTGTTGCTGCTATTCTAGCTGTTGCTCACTCATTTCATTGCTGCTTGATGATGTGTTTGATGGCATTGTTATTATCGCCAATTGTTTGCACATGGCTTCAAGCGGATTTCTTTTTGTTGTAACAGATATACTTACAATCATAAATGGAGGTAAATATATACATTTGACGCACAACAAAGTTATAGATTACTAATGATGTGCGCTTCTGCCTACCGGGCTTGATACAAACTTTTGCAAATACACACAATTTTATATATATATATTTATGTACACATAAGCTCATAATATAAAACAATGAAATCAGATAATCAGTTTGTACGGAGGGTTGTTTGTTTAACTGTTGTTCTGCTGTTCATATATCATATTTGCGCATTTTCAATATTTCTCTTACTTAACTTGAGATTTCTGTTTTCACTTTATATCTGCGCCTGATAATGAGCAATATCGGCTTAACAATAGCAACAAAACATTGAAAGCATGCGATTTTTATTCCTCATAAGTATTTTTTTCTCTGCTTGTGTATTCCGCTTGTGCGCCCATAAGTATGCTTTTGATTTGACGTACAATCAGATTTAATCTTGTGTCAAAAATTTTATTACTTACATCAACATCATCGAGTAGCAACAGACAGTCAAGGCGAGTAAACAAAGAAAAATCAGTCAAGTGTCGGGGGTAAATGGGGATGCGTTGAGATGGAGGAAAATGTACAAGGAATATAATATCATAAATTTGAATTTTTTTTTAATACATACGCATTTAAGTCTCAGCACTATTTAACGGTTAATTGAACATTTTTATTTTTAATTTTTTAAACATTTTTTTCACTTTCTCTAAAGAGCAGTTTGCCGATAAACTAACTAATATAATTTATGTGATATTAACTTTTGTTTTTACAACAATATTTTCTATCGTTGAAAACCCATATTTATGTAAAATATCGATATCTGTCTAGGTGCTTCCTTTGAAATATAGGCGGTGAAGACGTTTTAAAAAAACTTTCAGAGCGAAGAGCCATTTGTTGGCTTGAAACTCTTAAGATTTGTGCGGAAAATTTGGAAAACTCATTTTCCGATGGTGAGCCGAAAAGAGCAACGTTATCTCTTGTTTTATTACAAATCATCAATTAATCGACATTAATCGATATTAATCGATATATCGATTTTAATCTTAATTAATCGATTAATCGACATTGATCAGTATAACGACTTTAATCGATTAATCAATATTAATCGACATTTATCGATAATAAACGATTTATCGACAATAATCGACATTTATCAATATTTATCGATTTATCGATATTAATCGATATTTATAGATTTTTTATATTCACTAACAGGTATGAACAGATAAAAGTTGGCATGAAAAGACGAAGGTGTATTCGCTTTGCTTTTTCCGCTAACAGGCTTTAAGAAATGATTTTTGGATACAAAAAAAAAATGTATTTGAGACTAGTTAATGAGAGTTAACCGAAATTAATTCATTTCGTTTTTCGTGCAGAGCGGATGGCTGTAAACGATTGATAATATAAAAACATTTAAAGTACTTAACGAAGTTAGTCGATATATTACACTCCATTAAGAATGTAAACAGAACGAACCTTTCATTAGAAAATAAATAAACATTTAATTGTTCTTAAACATTTGCTTACTCCTATTGAGTGTTTTAATATTGGGTAGGATAATTTTTCCCATTAATAGAAATTTTTTTTTTTTCAAATTAAAGTAAATGTAATATTAAAAATATGTATAATCTCCAATATATTATGTGAAGTATTTTCAATAATTTTGATATCACTTACCTGCCACTTGGTTTTAATATCGAGCACAACATGTGAGATAAATATTTTTATTGCATACTTTTAGGCCATAATATGCTAATCTATAGCAATATTTGTTTAAATATGTAAAGCTTATTTTGCGCACAAATTTTCAATGGAAAACAATTATTTAAGTTATATTAAGCAAGGAATATATAGAAAAATGCAAAATATGCCTGAAAGTATGCAACGATGTTGGCATTTTTGCCTCTTACTAATTATTTCGAATAATATGAAATATTTGCATAAAATAAACACTTATTGAACAACAAATTTCAAAAAATCATAGCTAATTTTAATTATTGTGAGTTAAAAAAGTTAATAAAATTTGAAAATATTTAATTTAAAATTTTTATTACTAATTTCCCAACTACAAATAAATGTGTGTAAATGATATCGATATTTTGTTGGGTGTGTGTGGCAATTAGTAATTTATAATAAATTGTTTAAACAAACACAGAACAACAACTACTACTATTAAAACTACAACAACTACTACTACTACAATAACTACAACTACAGCTACAGCTACTATACTGTACTACAGTTAGTTAACTCCTTTATATATGTAAGTAGGCAGGTATGTGTGCTACATTTATTAAGTTCGATTTTTCCATGAAACTGCATAAAATTTTGGCTGCGCCGCAAAAATGAGCGTCGCTAATGAAATGGAAATACATACAACTAAACTGATACACGCACATACACAGGTACACACATGTAAAAACATATGAATGTATGTTGAAGACATGGTTGAATGATTACTAAAATGATGGTGTGGGAGTGGTTTGATGAATTGAGTAATTTTTAATATGCATGGGTGAGTGTAATTTATTAGAACAACAAAAGTATATTTAATTGCAATTTGCAAAAAATAAATTCATTAGAAAACACTGATTTGCAATTTTAGCTATGTTGACAGTATGTCCGAATGATTAAATTGATTTGTTACATGAATGACTGCATAATTGTGTAAACAATGAGAAGGGCACGTGAAATTGTGTTCAATTTAATAATATTTCACGTAAATATTTAATTAGACGAATGGGTATGAATATGTTTTTATAGTATTTTTTATTTAGTTTAAAGCCTCGTTTTAGGGCAGCTGATTTGATTTGGTGTGAGTGACTGTTTGAGTGTGTGCAAAAAGCTTTGAAGCCATTTTGAGGTTTCTTTATATATGTATATATTTGTGAGACACAAGGCAGGACGACACAAAATGTTGGTGTGTTAGTTTTGCGCAGGCAGCTGGTGAGCTTTTTGGGTAGTTTTATATTTTTATTTAATTTTTTTTTTATAGTTGAGAGAAATTTTTTAACTTTTTTCATCTTTAATTATTTTTTTTTTTGAATTTTTGTTTGAAATTCACATTTTATCCGCTGACATAAATATTTTTCGAGTTCTTTTTATGCTCTTTCACGAGGAATTTCGTAGTTTTGCCGAACGCCAGTTAGACAGTTTCAAAATTAGATGGGAACGTAAATTACTAGTTATTTCTCAGGCAAAACATAAGCCAAAACTTAGGTGCAGAAAAAATCAACGAACTAAAGAATTAAATATTTACAATAATTAGTTAAATTTTTAAAGAAAAATTTTTATAAAAAATTATAACAGTAAATAGAACAATTATACATTTTTTTGTTTGTAAGACCTAGTGCTTTCGAAAGCCTTTTTCGTATTAATTTTTATTACACAGCTTTAAAAAAATAATAATAATAACATTGCATACGTTTAGGCGCACTTTAGTTTTCTCCTTCTAGCATTGCTCATATATTTTAGAAATTAAAAAAAAAATTTACAAATTTATTTAAATTTCAGTTGAGCGTCTGCCTCTAATGCATATATTGGTTTTCAGACTTTAAGAGTGTAAACACGAAAATGAATAAATGTTGCCTACCTTTAGGCGCTATGTTTATTAAACAAGTATTTACTATTGACTAACGTGTTGAAAAAGCTTACGCATGAGTACACATTATTGAAACGCTCGTCAAAGCACTTATTTGTTGCCAATGTAAACAAGAAAAAGATATTGGATTACTTGTATAGCATAATCTAAGGCGTTAATTTGTGTGCAATGATTTTATGCATATTAAATATGTTTGAAGTCAAGGAAACTATTACGCTGATATAACTCAAGTACTTGAAGGGAAATGAAGTTAATTAGAAAGACTATAGTTTTGAATAAATATTTTGGAACACCTAAAAATACGATTCACGGGGGTACATATTTGAATATAATTTTTCATATATATAGTATTTATTTGAAAAAATATTTTAAACTTTATTCGTAGAGCACAAATAGATAATGAAGTAAACTTCAAAACTTATTGAAAATATTTCTGCCACGCCAATCGTTTTGATCATGGAAAATCATTGAGAATCGATTATTTTTGGCATATTTCAACAAAAATGTTGCGGAAATCGATTTTCGAACCATTTAGCGTCTAAATGTATGCAATAAAATTACAAACTATCAGCGCCTGAGTGTGTTCAATTGAATTTTTGATTTTCTTTTAACGCCTTAATATATGCCATGAGCATGGATATAATTAATCTTTTAAACATTTTGATCAATTCAATTCTGGAGTGCTATAGTTTCAAAAAAATAACGATTTTTTTATATAAAAAAATTCAGAATCTACTTTCGTAATATTTAACGCTAATATGTATGCAATAAATATTCAAAAAAATGTTACCTCCTAAATGTATGCAATGAATGACTTTTTTTCTTACTCCAAAAAGGACTTAATTTATTTTAAGAATTTCTGCTAAGTTCTAATTTATTTACTTTGATGCCAAATTTTTTTATTTTTCATGGTTCGGCGCTTTCTTAGAGTGCTACTGCACTTTAAAATGATTTTTTTTGGAACATAAAATTTTCTTGAATAAAAAACAGAAAGTGCAAACACAAATACAACATAAACAATGATTTTTTACGAAATAAAGAACTGAAAAGTTTTTCAACATGCGCCAAAGCATGGCCAAAATGCTCAAAAGTGCATAATACTGGTTAAAAAAATGCCCGACTGTGGCAATTAAAACAAAAAAATAATAAAAATATATGTTCAAGCGGATACTCAGCGTAGCATAGGCGTCACTAATGTTGAAAAAAGGAAACAAATTACCACAAAACAAAATGGATGAAAACTTTAAAAACAAATAACCAACACAAAGCCAACAACAAAAGCACAAAATTAAAAATAACCAAAAGCAAATCCAAGCAAATTTCAAAACATTTATACTAAACCAATTAAATAATACGAATAAATTATGTACTAGGTAAGAAAAGCAAAAATATTGGAAAACAAAGTAAAGCCACTGACGTTCGTTATCCTCGTTGCTGTCGCTGCCGCTCTTTGCGTTCGACTCCGTACCATCGATATACACTTCGGTGTTGTCATCCTCCTCGTGCGCACGATCGTCATCATCATCCTCATCATCGCCCTTGTTGTCTTCATCGTAAGTCTCATCGAATTCATCCTCCTCATCGCCATCCACAACAAGTTCGTCATCTTCATCACCATTAGCAGCCAAAATCTTTTTGCGTTCACCGCCATCGCTACTGCTACTAATGCCGCCGCCAGCTGTGGTGGTTGTGGTGCTGGTGGTGGATGAGGAGGTTGTACTGCCGCTGCTGCTGGTGCTGGTGCTATTTTCAACCGAACTCTTCGGCTCACTGCCCACACCGAACTCATGTTGACGCTGATAAGGACGTTCGATGAGACCTTCCTGACCATCTTCGTCAATATCGCCAGTGTGATCGTCATCGTCATCATCCTCATCATCGCCACCATCGCCGCTGCCGGCAATATGTTGTTTTCGCTCGTCGTCGACGTCCTCAACACCATCGCCTTCGCCGAGGTCGAAGTCTTCGTCGTCTGTGTGGCCTGCAGGGTAATGGGGTGCTGCGGGTAAGTGGGTTTGTTGGACTTGGTTGGGGTAAAGGGATGAGCCGCGATTTTTGCTCGCCGTCGCCGAGCTTGTGGTGGATATGTAGGTGAGAGTGGGTGTGTTTTGTGAGTTGGTGGTTGTGATTGATGGCGATTGTTTAGCTGACGTTGTGGCTGTTGATATGAACGATGGCAATGATATTGATTTGATTGCATTAATGTCTTGTTTTTTTTTTTTCAATTAAAGGTAAGTGAGGTTATGAAAAAAGGGTAAAAGGAAGTGCAATAATTTAGCCGAAAAGTATTCGTTCATTAATTTGAGGTCGTAAGTTTCCAAAAACGTATTGGAAATACAAAAAAGTTGGAGTGAAAGTGAAATTTCGACAGGAAAATTGAAAGAATGAGTGAGTGAGTATGACAGTGAGTGTATGAAAGATATTTTTTTTTCGCGAAAAGTATGCAATAGATTGAATGAATAAAAATAAATATATATGTAAATATGAAAGTATGCAACATATGTATGTATACATAAATGTATGTAGGTATATGCCAATGCATGAGAATGTGATATATGATATGTTTACCAATTGTATTGAGGCCAGTGTTGCTACCACTATTGCCACCGATGATGCCTGAATTGCTGCCGCTATTACTGCCAATGATTGTGCCACTATTCGTTTGATGATGAGTTCTACTGGTGATTAAATCGTCGTTGTCGTCGGTGGTCAATACTGTATTATGTTTACCCGATTGTGTATGTGTGCCACGATGCGATTGTTGTAAATCGGTGGATGAGTCCTCGTCATCTGGTCCAAAACCGGAACCGGAATAATCGGGATCTTTATCTAAATCATCGTGCAGCTTAAAGTAGATAAGAAAACCAGAAACAAATAATTAGTTACAAAGTATTAAAACAAATATTAGCTGCAATAAAATATTATCGATAAGAGATTTGTCCAAAGGATTTCTACTGGAATAAACTTTTTCAATATTGAGCTGAAATCAACGACACTATTTCTTGTTAAGGCAAGTTCTGAAACCAATTATCGAATAATCTTTATTAATCGATATTTATCGATGATTTATTTCGACTAAGAGGTTTGGACAGACAAAAGGTGTAAAGAAAATTGGAGAGAACATTTAGTTACCCAAAGGATATATCACCACTATACTCGCAGTCTAAAATTAAACAAATTTTTAGCTGTGAAGAAAAATAATCGATAAGAGATTTAAACAGATAACTTTTCTTGTATATCGAAAAAAATATTAGTGAAATGGAAAAAATCATTCACCGATAGTCGGCTGAGAACAATAACCCTATTTCTTGTTAAAGCTAGTTATACTACCAATTATCTTTTAATCGATATTTATCGATATTTTATTTTCGATAATAGATATAAGCAGATATAATTTGACATTTAATATTGAGGATGGAATTAATTATAAAAGGAATAACGGTATTAGGAAAATAAACAAGAGTTTGACTATGATAAAATACAATTGATAAGAGAATTGAACGAGAAATTTTCTTGTATATCGGGAAAAATAAAATTACACAATTTGCAAACTCTTTTCTCGGCATTGAGCAGCAAATATTTTGAATTGCTTATTATTGCTGTTAAAGCTAGCTATAAAACCACTTATCGATTAATCGATTTTCTGAGAATTAATAATTTTGAACAGATTATTTTTTTGTGTTTCAAAAATCTTCAGCTAAATTGTTGGTATTTTTCTTGATTGAAAAAATGATGAAAAAACAATATTGTTGCTAAAGCAACCCAACATACAAGTTTTAAGTTAATCGGAAATATCGAAAAAAAAATTTTAATTGATGAATTTATATGTACGTCAATGAATATTTGGATATGTGGTTGCATTGTTCTAAAATTAACTAATTTAAAATCTTAAATAGATTCAACGATTTTTTCATTCCATTAAGTTAAGGAAGTAAATGAAACAATATGGAGAAAGTTATCGATAGTTCCACAATATAATTATCAATTAGTGCTTTGAGATACTATTGTATAATTGAAAATTTTTTTAATCTCATCTTATTCATATTCATTTCATCTTTGTATTGTGTAATTACTTGCGAATTAGACACAAAACTTGGAATTTTTCTAAATTTTATCTTCTATTTCAATTCATTCTGAGTAAATACACAATTTCTTTCTCCAAATCTCAACTGAAATTTATTTATTTCCGCGCCGTAAGGGGTCACTCAGCAACTGTGTGTACTAACTTAGCACAGAAGTTAATTTATATATCTTATATATACGCCCATCCTCTATAATAAATGCCTCAAAGCCACACTGGAAATGGAATAAAAGCCAGCGGCATCTATGGCACGTCTTTGGCTAACCACAATTTATGTGTCCCCAAAGTGTCAGCGAACATGTCACTGTGCCAGTAGTGTGGCACCAAGTGCTTCTGGGCAATAATGCATTTGCAATTTCCATTTGAACGCGGCGAAATGCTTTTAGTTTCGTTTCCTAACCGTTATTTATGTATGAACGCATGCCTTTTATATAAAATGTTGCCGACTTAGAAAAGAATGCTCCCGTATTAAACTGTATTTATGGTATTTGTTAGATGCCTTGGGTGCGTGCTAAGTAGAGAAGAACTTTTACTCTTACAGCGGAAAATTGCAAAAGTTTTACTTCTATAGTTTAGCGTGTGAGCTTTAGCTAATAGCAAGGGCATATACTGTACCATCTGCTTCACACAGGATGTGACATGTAATTGAATTTAATTGCAATAGTATATTACGCGTTGTGCCGAAGGCATTTTGAGTGCAATATTTGTGTGTGCGGAGTAGAAGAGAGAACAACTATATAATGAAGGAATATAATATTTTATTACTTCTTAATAAACTTAGTTTTGTAATAATTTACTTTCGTAATTTATTTTGTATTATTTAATTTTATGTTACTTTTATTCATTTGGTTGTATTTAATTTAAATTTATTACTTTATTTTATTTTTTTCTTTTTAATTTATTTTATTTTATTTCATTTTATTTCATTTCATTTCATTTCATTTCATTTCATTTCATTTCATTTCATTTCATTTCATTTCATTTCATTTCATTTCATTTCATTTCATTTCATTTCATTTCATTTCATTTCATTTCATTTCATTTCATTTCATTTCATTTCATTTCATTTCATTTCATTTCATTTCATTTCATTTCATTTCATTTCATTTCATTTCATTTCATTTCATTTCATTTCATTTCATTTCATTTCATTTCATTTCATTTCATTTCATTTCATTTCATTTCATTTCATTTCATTTCATTTCATTTCATTTCATTTCATTTCATTTCATTTCATTTCATTTCATTTCATTTCATTTCATTTCATTTCATTTCATTTCATTTCATTTCATTTCATTTCATTTCATTTCATTTCATTTCATTTCATTTCATTTCATTTCATTTCATTTCATTTCATTTCATTTCATTTCATTTCATTTCATTTCATTTCATTTCATTTCATTTCATTTCATTTCATTTCATTTCATTTCATTTCATTTCATTTCATTTCATTTCATTTCATTTCATTTCATTTCATTTCATTTCATTTCATTTCATTTCATTTCATTTCATTTCATTTCATTTCATTTCATTTCATTTCATTTCATTTCATTTCATTTCATTTCATTTCATTTCATTTCATTTCATTTCATTTCATTTCATTTCATTTCATTTCATTTCATTTCATTTCATTTCATTTCATTTCATTTCATTTCATTTCATTTCATTTCATTTCATTTCATTTCATTTCATTTCATTTCATTTCATTTCATTTCATNTTTTTATTTTATTTTATTTTATTTTATTTTATTTTATTTTATTTTATTTTATTTTATTTTATTTTATTTTATTTTATTTTATTTTATTTTATTTTTTTTATTTAATTTTTAATATTTTTTTAATTTTATTTTATTTTATTTTATTTATGTTATTATTATTTTTTTTAATTTAGTTACTTTTTATTTGTTTTATTTTTGTACTGATATTTAGTATTGGCTTACTATATTTTATGTTAATTTTCTTGTTGCCGGAAGTTGCTTGCCGCAAGCAACCGCTGTGGAATTTTTGACGAAAACATTTTTAATATTGCTGAAAATGTTATTAAGGAAAAGTCATTGTATGAATGTTAAAAGAAAAATATGTGTACGTACGTACGTATTGGAAGTATTGTAAAAGAGAATGTGAAAACTAGCCGCAATATTTGGTGGTAACAAAAGAAGTATAATTTTTGTGCTTTTCCCTCCAGTTTAGGTGCGGCTAACCCAATTTGGCGTGTATCGTACATTTTCTGCCAGCAAAAAACATTTGAATTCGAATAAGTTGTCTACAAGTATACACATATATAACACTTGTAATTAGTACACACATATAACATCTCCCAATGTAACTGCTATAGGAGTTGGCAATTTCTGAAGTGTGTGTGCCACATTGGCTTAAGTGGAGTGCAATTGCTCGACACTTCATTATCATTTTTTTATAGTTTTATAATATGAATTTTTTTCCCTGCTTATGGTTTTTGAAGTAGTTTTGTGAAAAAATACTGCCAACTTACTAGCATACTTGCGATTATATGCTATTTGTTCAAATGCGTAAAAAGTATTAATAAATGAATGGAAAAGTTCAAATATGTGCAGCGAACCCCCAACAAGCTGGTGGCGAGCATGAATATGTTAACTGAATTAAAATGCACTGTTTATATTTCTACAGGCAAAGTTCTGTAATAAACATGCACTAATTTCAAAATAATATAGAAAATATATATAAACTTATCCGCGGCTGCTTTTCTGCTGTTGGATTGAGGGAGAAGACAGTTTTTTCACTACAACACTCAGTTGATAGATACTGGTTTTTAGAGAAAGAGTGGCTTCCCTCGAGTAAGTGTGATTTTGAATTTGAGTTTGAGTTGATCTTAAATTTTTGTTTAAATTTCAAATTGAATTTGAGTTTAAGTATGTTTATTGGTATAAATAAGAGCAAAGGTATGAGTACGAGTATAACTATGAGAAAGAGTATGAGAACAAGTATGAGTATGAATATGAAGCTGGGTATGAGCATGAGTAAGAGCATGAGATTGAGTTTGTGTGTGAATTTGAGTATTAGCTTTAGTTTATGTTACAGCATGCGCATGAGTATGAAAGCAAATATGAGTATGAGTAAGAGTATGGGCTTGGATATTGCTACGAGGATAAATATGAGCATGTGTACGAATATAAGTATGGGAACAAGTATGAGTATACGTATGAGTCTGAGTAAGAGTACATGTAAGCTCGAATTTGATTATCAGTTTGAGTATGAACTTGTGTAAGTTATCGAGGTCGGGTTTTAGTATGAGTGTGAGCATAATTTGAGTTCGATTTCGAGTTTTAAGAAAACTGTTGTTGATATTTCTTTTGCGTTTAAGCGCGAGTATGAATGCTAGCTTAAGTTTGGGTTTAAATTTGAATAAATTTCAAATGTTTGTTTTAGTTTCAACTAAATTTATTTAAAAAAAAAACTAATTTAATTTTTTCAATGTAATCATAATTATAAATATTCATTTCAAAAAATAACTAAAACAGATATCTTTGACCTTATGCTTTCAGACTCTCAGCTGAATTAATATATTTTAAATTCTTTTTAAAAGTTATGAGCCACAATCTCAAAATATTTGGCCGCAATTTCTCGAATGTTTTCTATAACCAACACTTTTTATTTTTTTATTATTAAATTTATTAAATTTTTAAGCAATACAATAATATATGTTACATACTTATAACAACAACAATACATGTTATATATTGGCACCAAAAGTCAAACAAGCAGCGTTAATTGCTACATAAATCACG